AAAAAGTTTGCTTTTTTAAAAATTATTATTATTTTCCTAAAAACATAAATAAGAAAGGCTTATCCTGGCGGTGGCGCTAGTAAAGGATGGCGGGCTGCCAGGCCTATAATACACTGGGGGAAACCCTGTACACAATTATCTCTTGTTGATATTTTTATTTGTCTGTTTATTATTATTATTTTTCCATCCTACTCAGGCGCGATGCTAAACATCGTCCAAGACTCTGCGCTGCTAGAGGCCATAGGAGCCCAGACCGAAACGGTAAGGCTCAGATCAGACCCGTTCTTTTTCTCAACAACTGGTCCACTGCATTCGTCAAGATGGCTGCCGTTCCCCATTTTTCAGGGCAACATAGATGGAAGCCATGTGACGCTGAGAAGTCAGAGTCACAGTCGCACTAACAGCGGCATCAGCTTTAACAGCGGCGGCAGCACAGAGGCCACCAGCCCAGACTGTGAGCGTCCGGCGCAAGCGCTGCTCCGAGACTACGGTGAGACACGCAGCCACGCCACTGATTGGCCAGCTAACACACTGATGCTGCTCTTCATCAGTGATGCTCACTGAGGCTCGCAGCAACACCAGACTAACATACCTGTTGTTTGTAGCTAACGTGGTTAAGGTGGTGTGCAGAGTTAAGAAGCACTGGGTAAAATGTCTTTGTAGGTGATTCATTTGTTTGCTGTGAACTAACAGTTTCAGACAATTTTTCCAACTTTATTATTATTTTTTTTTTCTAAATGACTGCTTGGAGTATTCTGGTCTGATTAAAAGTAGGGCTGCAACTAACGATTATATTAGTGATCAATTCTTCTGATGATTAATCAATTAATCACATAAGAAAATTGGCACATTTCGTTTAACCAACTCAGCTTATTTTATACAATATTAGAAATACGTTGAAAAAAATACTAATGATTAAATTTATTTTAAAAAAATTTGTCTCCCTGAATTTTGGGCCGTAACTAATGATTATTTTAGTAATCAATTATTCTGAAGATTAATCAATTAATTGGACTAAAAAATTTTCACCATCTGCAGATTTTTCATTTAACCAATTAAGTTTATTTTGTACAATACTAGAAATGCATAAAAAAACACAAATAAACCAGTAGTTTTTTGCAATTTAGACAATAAAATGTTTATTTTCTAATTTTCAGAAGAAAAAAAAACAAACAGCATTTTCTTAGGGAATAGTTGTTCATTTGTAGCAAAAGATACATCTGCAGCTAAAACATAATTCTAACATCAACATGTGAAAATCTCGGCCATTTCTGCTCGACTCAACATGAATATAGTGTAGAATGGATCTGTTGGCTATGTTTTTGGAGTAACCACTTAATATTTGGTTATCAAAAGGTGCTTGGTAGATTTGTTTTATGATTTTGAACCAGAGGAAGTTAAAACTTTGCCACTTGAGCAAAGTTTTTTTTTTTTAAATGTTGTATGCAAAATGTACATATGTATTTTTTTGGCTCAACTTCTGCTCTATGTCCTTTAACTAAATGGTCTTTTTTCTCCAGGTCTATAAACTGCAGTTAATGATTAATCGATTACCAAATTAGTTGACAATTATTTCAGTAATCGATTCAGTACAATTAATCCAATTAATCATTTCAGCCCTAATTAAAGGTTATTTAGAGATGATCTTTTCCCTCACATGACTGAGTGATACATTTTACTGGCTAGATGAATCTAACAGCTGTATTTGTAAATGTTTTTGATATTAATTAATTCATTTCACATTAACCAATAACATATCTATTCCCATTGCTCAGCCCTGTCTCTTTCTGCGTGTATTTTATATCTTTTCTCTAAGTTTACACTTGTAATGAATGCTATGCAGTGTTGAGATGTAGTTGATGCATGATGTTTTTCTTTTTGCTAAATGGGCTCTGAGTGTTTCTCCTGTCGGACCTTGTAGCTGTGTGGCTTTAACCCTTCATTGTTTCTGTTTCGCGGTGTTTGGTATTTCGGGGTGTTTTATGATCTAGCTCTTCCAGATACGGCTGCAGGCCTGCTGGTGCGCAGCATCCACTTGGTCACACAGAGGCTCAATTCTCAGTGGAGACAAGACATGAGCATTTCTCTGGCTGCCCTAGAGCTGCTGGCGGGACTGGCCAAGGTAAGTACAAGCTTTTAATACGTGTTACTGCCAGTCAGTCTCTCTGCTTCAGTAGCAAATGAACTTTTGTTCACACCTCTGTGTGAGAACTTTAACTGAAATCTTTGATGGTTCCTCTGCAGAGCCATGCATGTTTATTTAAAACAACCATTGGACAGTATTTCCAGTCTAACCAGATGTTTGGGAGGCATGCAGGACGGTGGTATTTTCTTCCATCACAAAAATAAACATGGTGGGGTGTGTGAAACTACAGCTGCTTTGCTTTTCAGCAACAAATATTGAGACTGGGAGGTCTGTGTGAAATAAAGGATGAAAGAGTGGGAAAGTAACTCATGGCAACGATTAAGTATAACTATCTGTTTCTCTGCTAAAGACCAGTTGTAGCCTTGTTAGTGTCTAAAGCCGTTTTCGCACTGCAAGGAACGGAACGGAACGGCACGGGTTCAAAGTAGGGCTGACCGTGTTTGCATTAGAACTTCCGACCCGGTTCCACCCGGCTCCTTGGAACCACAAGAGCTGTGGTTCCAATCAGGCCGGCCAAATGGGGCTGCTTAGAATTCAGCAGCTGATTGGTTTAGAGTCAGCCATTGGTTGTTTTGCAATCAACTGTTGATTGGGTCTAACTGGTTCTCACTAAACTGTTCTTACTGTATTTTGTAAAGAGTGCTCTTTTTAATATTTTTTTTATTATTTTTAATTTGCAATGAATTCCTCTCAATATTCTGCTGATACCTGGTCCATGGTGAGGTATTGTTTTTCCTCCGCTTACTCGCTGATGAACGAGTACAGAATGAACCAGATCGGTCAACAAGGAAAGAGAAAGTTTTCTGCCGCATCTCTGAGGAAAAGGCTTCGGCCGCTACATCGAAACCATTGTTTAGTTTCAAACATAATGACGTCAGGTACAGCTTCGATGCCGCCCTCAGTTATATGCAAACACAACAGGGCTGCAGTTCGGGTGGAACCGGACCGAAGCGTGCCGTTCTAGTGCACAAATGGCTCAAGACATCATGAGTCCTGAAATATTGGAGTGTTTTGAATTTAAAGGCTGACAGCTTCTTTCAGAAAACTGAAAATAACAAACGTGTAATGCAAAAACAAGCGGCCATCTACCTCACCCCCAGACACTCTGTGTCTTCATTAGGTGAAGGTGGGAGTGGACTCTTCGGAGCGTAAACGTGCTGTCAGCTCCATCTGCGGCTACATTGTGTACCAGTGCAGCCGGCCGGCCCCTCTGCAGTCCAGAGACCTTCACTCCATGATCGTAGCTGCCTTCCAGTTTCTCTGCGTGTGGCTCACAGAGCACCCTGGCATGTTAGATGAGAAGGTGCATTCAAAGACGCACTGAAAAAGTTTTCATCTTTGCTCAGTCTGGATAGTCAGTGCTGAAAGTTTCTTGGACTGAAATGCATTTCCGTTTATCTGCCAGGATTGTTTGATGGAAGTGTTGGAGATTGTGGAACTGGGAATCTCTGGGAGTAAGTCTCGCCATGAACAGGAAGTGCGTCACAAAGCGGAGAAGGAGCACAATCCAGCTTCAATGAGGGTGAAGGACGCCGCTGAGGCCACGTTATCATGGTGAGATGTTCAGTGTTTGCGCTGTTGGTAAACACTCCACAGTTAGTCACTCACACCTCAACACTCGCTGTCTGTCTGACTTTAGGACTGCTGCTAACGATTATCGTCTTACTATCCTGATACAAAAAGTGACTGGAAATGAAGTAATGAAAATGAAATGATGCGTTGCTGTTGTCTTTCTAGGCTAACTTGTCAGCTGATTGTGATAGATTTTTATGTACAACTGTCATTTCAGAAATGTTGTAAAGAACAAGCCATAGAACAAATCATCAGGTTGACTTTGTAAAAGACTTAAGAAAGACAATAAAACTTTTCTTCTCTTTATGTAATCAAAGTTTTTTTGTGTGTGAATACTATTAGATTGCACTGTGTTGCTTTCACTGACCCACGTCTTTGAATTGCTTTTCTGCTGGTGTTCCCCAGCATCATGCAGGTGTTGGGGGCTTTCCCTTCTCCCAGCGGACCTGCGTCCACCTGCAGCCTGCTGAACGAAGACACTCTGATACGTTACGCCAGACTGAGTGCCACAGGAGCCACTAACTTCCGCTACTTCGTCCTGGACAACTCTGTGATCCTTGCCATGCTGGAGCAACCTCTCGGCAATGAGCAGAGTCGGTGTCGCAGCATCATCCCCCCATTGTTGTGTTATTATTACAAATGATTTGGCCTGCTTTTATTTTAAAACATTATCGCTGAGTTTAAAATATTAGAGACTCACCAGGATGAAAACTCAAAAATTCAATCTTTTTTTTGTTTAGTAAACACAAAACACATTAACTACCAGGTTGCACTTCAAGTTGTCTTCATTGTGAATGCTGTTTCTCAGTAAAGAAGAATCAAAGTTACCTTCTCTGAGTTAGTCAGATGGAGGTGTTGAAAGGGTAGTGAAATCTATATAACATCAGTTATTGACCATTACAGTTGTATTGATATCAGTGCACAAGGGTTCCTGTAGAAAAATAGCTAAGAATTTGAATGGTGTTCTCCTCAAGTGATCAACCTGTTTTATTTTCTTCACTGACTTCACTGACATTTCTGTCCCTGCAGATCCTAGTCCGTCTGTGACCGTTTTGATCCGAGGAACAGCAGGACGACACGCCTGGACGATGCAGCTCTTCCATCAGCCAAGAGGGGCTCGTGCCAATCAGAGGGTTAGATCTCATCAGAAATGACTGTCAAACATTGGTGTCCATAGTAATGCCAACAACTCCAGTATGAATCTGTCCACATTTCTCCTCCCATGGCAGATGTTTGTTCCTGAGAGCCGCCCGACGCCAAATGACGATGTGGGCATCAAGTACAACGTGAAGCAGAGGCCTTTTCCAGAGGAGGTGGATAAGATCCCTCTGGTCAAAGCCGATGTCAGCATTCCAGACCTGGATGACATCGTCAGTAAGGAGGTACGTTATTTCACTGGATCGCTTCCTGTTTACAGTTTCATGCAAACTCTGCAGATCTGAAGGGTAACTGTGGCTGAAAACCAGCATGAAGCTGATTGTTGATGTGGTTTACTGTACAAACTCAGGTGGGTTGCTTGGGCTATGAGGATGATTCAGCAGCCACAAGTTCACTGATGTGTAAATACGTAAGTTGTTGAAGAGAAACAAAATTCACTTGGGTGAAAAACAAGCAGGTGAAGGTAGTTGGGTTGGTGTAACTGGTTTTTATGGTAATCCAGTTCTTCTTTAGCTTTCTGGAAGTCCATAATCAGTTGACATGTTGTCATTTTGAGACAATGTTAATAGAGAAAGCTTCACAAGACCTGGATAAAGATTCATTTCACTGGATTTCTGTGCCACTTATTCTATTCATTGTGCTGTGATATAGATGAAGGTTTTCACGCATATTAATCTGAGGATGAGGTTCCTGTCCTGGTTGTGGGAGTCTTACGGTGAAGGTTTACCAGTCAGCTGCTGGTTGTCCAGCTCCTGTTTTTTTTTTTTTTTTTTTTTTTTTTTTTGTTTGTTTTACCACATCTTCTCCTTTCCAGCTGGAAATTCAGCACAACAAGCTTCGCAGTCTGATGGCCAAGCAGATAGACTATGAAAACACTTTGGAGCAGCGCAGCGAGGAGCTCTTAAAGTCCAAGTCCTTCCCAGACCCTCAGACAGAGTGCAAACCTCCTCCACCCTCGCAGGAGTTCCAGACAGCACGCCTCTTCCTCTCTCACTTCGGTTTTCTGTCTCTGGAAGCCCTAAAGGTCCGTACAAACACGTTTCCCCTCCCTCTCGTTTGTAAACTCTGCCGTTACTCGACCAGCTTACTGCCTTCATGTCACTTCTTTCAGGAACCCAACAACAGCCGTCTACCTCCTCATCTAATCGGCCTGGACTCGTCCTTGCCAGGGTTTTTTGATGACATCAGCTATCTGGATCTGTTGCCCTGCCGACCGTTTGACACTGTCTTTATTTTCTACGTGAGAGCGGGACAGAAAAGCAGCTCTGAGGTAATAAACAGACTTCCAGACTGCAGGTATTTTACTGGCACCTTGAAGATGTGCAGTTTGAAATTTTATAAATAGATGTTGACGTTGGTTGAAAATAAAATGGTTTACAAATAAAAGTTTGTTCTGGAATGAACTTCCAGAAAACTGCAGAAATGCTGCAGAAACACTGAGTGACTAAAAACCCACCTGATCAGATCTGCCTTTGATTCCTCATAACTGGAACTTTGGTGAATTTATTTGACGAATACTTGTTTGATGATTTTGATGATGACATTTGACAAATTGTATTGTTTGTTGCTTATTTTATGATTGTTGACTGTATTATGTTTTTATGGTGTTAAGGTCTTTGAACCAGGTATTTTTTGTATTATTTAACATGATAAAATTCTTATCATAAGCAATTTGATTTACTGTTGTCAAAATAAATTCCAGTTAATGATGTTTAAAATTCCTAAAACTGTTCATATTGTTGGTTAGTTTTATTATTTTCTCCACTCATTAAATATCAGTAAATATGATTGAATGCAGTTACTGTTTGTGCTAGTGAAATAAATCACACTTCTTTATAAATGTGTGTGTTTATCAAGATCAGTGCTGGAACTTTACGTCCATGTCGCCCAGCCTTGTTGCTGAAAAATATGAAACACAACTTGAAAAGGAAGTTTAGCTCTTCACTGTTGGGCAGACAGATTTTTCTGTTTAGTCAGAACATTGTTGCTGTTTTTCACTCTGTTTGCAAAAATGATTTTCTGGTATATTAATGTGCATCTCCATGTTGCTCAGATTTTGAGGAATGTGGAGTCATCAGCTACTGTCCAGCCCCACTTCCTGGAGTTCTTGTTGTCTCTGGGCTGGCCTGTGGATGTGGGCCACCATCCGGGCTGGACGGGCCACCTGGACACCAGCTGGTCCCTGAACTCCTGCTTTGACAGCACTGATCTTCAGACAGGTCAGCTTACGAACAGTTCCAAACGCAGCAACTGATGCTGTTATCTTCACCAAATGACGGTTTTTGTTTTCGTCAGAGGAAGCAGCGAGCCCCGAGGACACGGGAGGTTCAGTGTTCAACGGAGAGAAGAAAGTTTTGTACTACGCTGATGCTCTCACAGAGATTGCCTTTGTTGTTCCCTCTTTAACAGAAAATTCAGGTTTGTGTTCAGAAACTTCTACACAATTGAGCAGATATTTGCTGCTCTAATATCTGCAATTTGATTAAATCACTTTACAAGTTAATGTAGGTATGAAAAAATAAAATTTAGTTTGGGAACTTTACCATTTCATTGTCTGAGATCAAATCTATTCATTCCTAAAAAATATATTTATTTTTAGAGAATGACGGTATGATTAGATTGTCACATCACAGCTGCAATTTTCATACAAATCATTCAACATTTTGGTTTTTGAATTACTGACGGAACAATACACACTCATTGACAGACTAAAAATGGCCGTTTGGCCTCCAGATCTCTTTATTTGAGTGTTTTAAATTGGATCCAAGTTTGGTTCAGATGCCGAACAATCCACAGAAATTCCTGTTTTCTGGAATTTTGTAAAACAAACTAAAAAAGATCTGTATTCAGTCTGGAATTGTTTATTTTCATTTTGCAATTGCACTGCAAAAACACAAAATTTTAACTCGTTTTTGTCTAGTTTCTAGTTCAAATATGTTAACACACTTAAAATAACACAACATAAATAGGCCTGTTTTAAATCAATAATTCTTGAAAATGGATTAAAAAAAGAGTAGTAGTTTCACTGGGAAATTATTTAACTTAAAGCTGGAAAAATATCTCTAAGTGAAAAAACTGCCTGTAAAATTACTATTTTTTAAAATCTATTTTCAAGACTTAATGACTTAAAACAAGCATATTTATCCTGCTGAATTTTTTTTTTTCAAGAGATATTAAGAGGATGTCTGAAGTAAAGCTAATCTTATTTCCACGGTATTAAAATGTTTGAACTAGAAACTGGATAAATATACTTAGTAAGATTTTTTTTTTTCTTTTTTTGCGTCGTGTGGAAGTGTTTTCTGTTTTGGCTGAAGTTGGCCTAAAATCCAAGAGCATAAAATAGTACTTTGTCACACTGTGTTGTAGTATGTGGTAGAAAGAAAAGTTTAGTTTTTTCTACTCAAAAGTTCATTAATTTTTGAGGATGAAGTTTGGAAAGGTTCAAAATCACAATTTAAAAATGATCAGGAACTAGGACCATCACATGTGAAGTAATGAAAAACCAGGTTGTTGAAAGCGACTTTCCTGGGTTGCTATGTTGCAGAGTCGTCGTCTGTGCACAGTGACTCCACAGTGGAGGCAGACACCAACACAGACCTCATTCCTGGAAAGCAATCTAATCTCACACTGGAACTGTTCCCCAACCACTCTGAGAGCCTTGAGTCTGCTAAAAAGGTAGCTTTGCATTTTGTCTGACTAAACAGAACCTCTATGACAATGTCACAGAACATAATTTATCTTTTTTTTAATGTACTCACTGCCTAAACTTGCTAAGTTGTGTTGCTGTTGCAGCTGAGTCCTTTGGTGAAGACGAAGAGGTCATCGACCGGAAAGTCTTACCCCCAGCTGGGCCCTGAGACCAAAGTGTTTGTGGTCTGGGTGGAGCGCTTCGATGATATCGGTATGCACACACTACTTCTAGTTATAAAACTTTCATGTGGCCATACACATTTTTGGATAAAACTGTTCAGGGTTTGGGGTGTGCTGTGGTGGCGCAGGGGTTAAGCACAACCCTCATATGGAGTTCTTAGTCCTCAACACAGCTGTCGCAGGTTCGATTCCCAACCTTGGTGACCTTTGCTGCATGTCTTCCCCCTTCTCTCATTACCCACTTTCCTGTCAATTAACTATCAAATAAAGGCCACTAGAGCCAAAAAAAAAAAAAAAAAAAAAAAAAAGTTTTAGGGGTACGAAAAAAATTTGGGGAGGGGATAAAAAGACAATAT